TCCAGCTATTGCCAGGTGCCCACTGTTCCCCATCTGTAGAAAGTTAGATCCCTCCTAACTCATAACCTCAGATTACTTAGATTAGAAGAAGGCAGAAGTCCATTACGGTGGGAAGTGTACCCTTACCACTAATTACATCAAAATCTGTATCTTGACCGGGGTGGTGGCTCACGCCTGTAATCCCAGCACTCTGGGAGGCCGAGGCGGCGGAGACTGCCTCAAGGTTAGGAGTTCGAACAGCCTGAGCAAGAGCGAAACCCCATCTCTACTAAAATAGAAGAATTAATTGGCCAACTAAAAATATATAGAAAAAATTAGCCAGGCGTGGTGGCGCATGCCTATAGTCCCAGCTACTCGGGAGACTGAGGCAGGAGGATCACTTGAGCCCAGGAGTTTGAGGTTGCTGTGAGCCAGGCTGACGCGACGGCACTCTAGCCTGGGCAACAGAGTGAGACTCTGTCTCAAAAAAAAAAAAAAAAAAAAAATTTTTTTTTAATTTAAAAAAAAAGAAAAATCTGTATCTTTACTCACCTTTTAGAAGGTCTATAGAAGAGCCAGGGGAGAAAAGCATCACATTGGCTAGGATTTAGACTTCTCTCGGTATTTATAGCCAAAGCAGACAAAGACAAGGAAAAAAAGGTAAAGTATCATAAGTTAAAATTAATTTTTTTTTTTTTTTTTGAGATAGGGTCTTGCTCTGTTGCCCAGGCTAGAGTGCAGTGGAAAGATTCGTAGCTCACTCCAACCTTCAACTCCTGGGCTCAAGTGATTCTCTCGCCTCAGTCTCCCGAATAACTGGGACTACATGCACCTACCACCCATGCCTGGCTAATTTTTCTTATTTTTGTAGAGGCAAGGTCTCACAGTGTTGCCCAGGCTGGTCTTAACTCCTGGCCTCCGGTAATCCTCCCACCTTGGCCTCCCAAAGTGCTGGGATTACAGGCATGAACACCTCACCTAGTCTCATTTACTTATTCACTTAACATTATTTTGTACAGCTTGTACATTATGCCAGGCTTGAAATATCTCATCTTCCTGATTCCCCAAACTCTATAATCATAAGGCTTTTCACCCACAGTAAAAGGACATTCCTCTGGATGGCTCTTACTAGTATATGTTTATCCCAAAGTCTAAATGCTTAATGCAAGACTCCACTCACCTGTTAGCAGCATCTGAAATATGAAATGCACACAATTATCTATGTGCATTCTAAACAGCTATAGAATAAAAGTACTCAATATCTAGAGAAACTCTAGCCTGGGCAACAAAGCAAGACTCTGTCTCAAAAAAAAAAAAAAGAGTAAATCCCCCACATAACTTGCATAGCCATAGTGCCTATCTCAAAACATTAAATCCACAGCACAAACCAACCACAGGCATATATAGTGAACTATGTTAAAGACAGTTCCGACTTTAAAATAGGACAAGGTGCAGAAGCAGTCCCCAGATAGATTTCTACAAAATGACATGTTTTTCAAGTAATTTCAATCCTGTTAAAACATACTTGTCAAGCACCATGGCATATACCTGTAGTCCCACCTACCAGAGAGAATAAGGCAGGTGGATTGCTTGAGCCCAAGAGTTTGAGACCTGCCTGGGCAACAAAGCAAGAACCCATCTCAAAAAAAAAAAAAAAAAACCTACTTAAGAACACAAGAATACAGTGTCATCAGGTATTCAAATCACTGAGGTGTTGGCCAGAGTCTAACTATCATATATTTATTTATTTATTTTTTATTCTTTTGCCTTTTCCCTAACTTGAAAATAACTATCTTTTAATCTCCAAGGATGCCATTGCAATGGTATTATAAAAAGAATACATGTAGTATGTAACATGCATGCAATATATGTAATAACCTAAACTATATTCACCCTTCTGACAAATGTAATTTTTAAAAATAACTTTGTATGAGACTGAAACATTTACAAATAAAATACTATGTCTGGACTCACTTCAAAATAACCCAGGAATACAAAGGGTGGGATAGAGGTAGATATGAAACAAAATCGATGATGCTCAGACAACTGACTTGTTTGGAAAAAAGAAAAAAAAAAAACCGACCATGCTAACTGCTGAAATACATGAAGGATCATCACACTACTTATTTACTATTTATTATACTATTTACTATTTATACACTATTACCACTTTCATATACTTTAGAAATTCTCTACATTCAAAAAATAAAATACAGCCGGGCATGGTGGCTCACGCCTGTAATCCTAGCACTCTGGGAGGCCGAGGCGGGCAGATTGCTCGAGGTCAGGAGACAAATCAAAATGTCCTGAAACTTTCCTTTTACTAATTTATCCACAGGAATTATCTGCAGAGAAAAATCAAGACTGTTTAGCCCAAACAAGAGCTTTTGGCAAGCATCAACTTTTCCATGCAGCAAATAGGTATAAAGCTCTGCCAAAAGGAGAAAAATATTTAGAAGAACTTAGTTCTAAGCCTCTAGCCTTAGTTCTAGCTTCTAGAAATTTGTAAAGCAATTTCATTCAGTTTGCCTTCAATAGTATTTCTACCCACCAAATCCTCTCCAATCCTCAAATTTGTGAAAGGAATCAAAAACAAAAAAGAAAGTACCATGTAAGTCACATACACACATCCAAACCATACCCTCAGACATGGTACAATGTTATTTCACTATTTGAGGTTGCTGTGAGCTAGCCAGGCTGACGCGACGGCACTCTAGCCTGGGCAACAGAGTGAGACTCTGTCTCAAAAAAAAAAAAAAAAAAAAAAAAAAATTTTTTTTTAATTTAAAAAAAAATCTGTATCTTTACTCACCTTTTAGAAGGTCTATAGAAGAGCCAGGGGAGAAAAGCATCACATTGGCTAGGATTTAGACTTCTCTCGGTATTTATAGCCAAAGCAGACAAAGACAAGGAAAAAAATGTAAAGTATCTATAAGTTAAAATTAATTTTTTTTTTTTTTTTTGAAATAGGGTCTTGCTCTGTTGCCCAGGCTAGAGTGCAGTGGAAAGATTCGTAGCTCACTCCAACCTTCAACTCCTGGGCTCAAGTGATTCTCTCGCCTCAGTTTCCCGAATAACTGGGACTACATGCACCTACCACCCATGCCTGGCTAATTTTTCTTATTTTTTGTAGAGGCAAGGTCTCACAGTGTTGCCCAGGCTGGTCTTAAACTCCTGGCCTCCGGTAATCCTCCCACCTTGGCCTCCCAAAGTGCTGGGATTACAGGCATGAGACACCTCACCTAGTCTCATTTACTTATTCACTTAACAATTATTTTGTACAGCTTGTACATTATGCCAGGCCTGGAAATATCTCATCTTCCTGATTCCCCAAACTCTATAATCATAAGGCTTTTCACCCACAGTAAAAGGCATTTCCTCTGGATGGCTCTTACTAGTATATGTTTATCCCAAAGTCTAAATGCTTAATGCAAGACTCCACTCACCTGTTAGCAGCATCTGAAATATGAAATGCACACAATTATCTATGTGCATTCTAAACAGCTATAGAATAAAAGTACTCAATATCTAGAGAAACTGGAACCCTCATATACTGTTGATGGGAATGTAATTGGTTCAGCCACTTTGAAAAACAGGCAGCTGTGCAAAAGGTTAAATACAGAGTCCCAATATGGCCCAGCAATTCTGCCCCAAGAGTATATACTCTTGGGTCTATATCCGAGAGCTGTTAAAACGTGTCTACAGAGAAACTGTATATCAATGTTCATGGCAGCATCATTCATAATAGCCAAAAAGTGGAAACAATCCAAATGGCCATCAACTGGTAAATAAATAAAATAACCATACAATGGACCATTATCCTGCAATGAAAAGGAATAAAGTACTGACACATGCCACAGCATGGATGAACCTTGAAAACATAATGCTAAGTGAAAGAAGCCAAACACAAAAGACCACATACTCTATGATTCCATTTACAGGAAATGTTCAGAATAAGCAAATCCATAGAGACAGAAAGCGGATTAGTGGTTGCCTAGGGCTGGGGGAAGGGGAAAGGATTGGGGAAAAACAGGAAGTACCTGCTATTGATTATGCATGAAGTTTCTTTTTGGAGTGATGAAAATGTTTTAAAATTGTGGTGATGGTTACACAAGTCTTTGACTATACTAAAAAACATGAATTGTACAATTTAAGTGGGTAAAATGGGTGGCATGTGAAATATATCTCCATAAAGCTGTTTACAAAATACTCAACCTACCCTCTCTACCTACCAGATGGATCAGCCTCTCTCAAGGTATTATGGGACCCTGCCATCCTCTGGAAAAAGAGGAATTAACATCTGCAGAACATCTACCCTGCCCCAAAATTTCATATGTTCTACAAATATACTACTGCAAACATATCTTGGGAAACCTATCAAGACAATGCTTTTTCAAGAAAGTCTCTAAAATCAGTCTTCGCCTGCCTCCCAGACTCTGCTACCATCATGGCAAGCCAAAACTACTTACTTACCAGCTAAAGTTCTAGGGAAGGCAGGGAAGCTGTAAGCAAATGAAGCTGATCTACAGTGAGGAAGCAGAGAGCCAAGAACAGTTTCTTAGAGATCTAAACAGCTCCTTTAGGTCCTTAGAGTTCAGGTCTGATAGTAACTTGCCATCCTAGAGTTCTGTGAAAAATGCCCTTGTTTTTAAACTAAATATCCCTTATGTGAGCTAGCCTGAGGGATTTCTATTCCATACAACTAAAAGCTTTAGCAAATTGCATACAGTAACAAAAGCAAACCTCTGGGGCAAGTATTAAAATTCCCATTTTACAGAGGAGGAAACTGAGAGGCAGAGTTGAAGTGGCTTCCTTACAGAGGGCTATGGGGATCTAAGGACAAACACAAATCTCCCTGACACCAGATTCAATGCTCCTGCCACATGCCTGGGATCATGCTAAAGATCCCCAAGCCTGTGGCTAACTCAAAAAATTCTGGCTGAACGCTGAATGAATACCTGGAATATTATTACTCAAAAATAACATTTTTGGGTTGTTGTTTTTTTACCTGCACTGCTAGAGCTGAGAGGTTTCTTCGGTTTATTCAGAGCTGGAGCAACAAGGGAGGGAGCCACTGCAGTTTCTTGACCTTGTCTGGCAGCCACAGGGTCATAGTCTTTTCCGTCATAGTTTGCATCAAAAAACTTCTTGAACCACTGAACAAATTCAAAATTGTCCTGAAACTTTCCTTTTACTAATTTATCCACAGGAATTATCTGCAGAGAAAAATCAAGACTGTTTAGCCCAAAGCAAGAGGCTTTTGGCAAGCATCAACTTTTCCATGCAGCAAATAGGTATAAAGCTCTGCCAAAAGGAGAAAAAAATATTTTAGAGAACTTAGTTCTAAGCCTCTAGCCTTAGTTCTAGCTTCTAGAAATTTGTAAAGCAAGTTTCATTCAGTTTGCCTTCAATAGAGTATCTACACCTACCAAATCCTCTCCAATCCCTCAAATTTGTGAAAAGGAATCAGAAACAAAAAAGAAAAGTACCATGTAAGTCACATACACACATCCAAACATACCCTCAGACATGGTACAAGTGTTATTTCACTATAAAGAGTAAATCCAGGCCGGGCGCGGTGGCTCACGCCTGTAATCCTAGCTCTCTGGGAGGCCGAGGCGGGCGGATCGCTCGAGGTCGGGAGTTCGAAACCAGCCTGAGCAAGAGCGAGACCCCGTCTCTACTATAAATAGAAAAGAAACTAATTGGCCAACTAACATATGTAGAAAAAATTAGCCGGGCATGGTGGCACATGCCTGTAGTCCCAGCTACTCGGGAGGCTGAGGCAGGAGGATCGCTTGAGCCCAGGAGTTTGAGGTTGCTGTGAGCTAGGCTGACACCACGGCACTCACTCTAGCCTGGGCAACAAAGCGAGACTCTGTCTCAAAAAAAAAAAAAAAAAAAAAAAAAATATATATATATAATTCCATAAAAAAGAATAGGAAACTATTATATATAAGCTACCCCTATTTAAACTATGCCCAAAACTAAATGATATCCTTATACTACAAATGCTTATTTTATGTATTGTACAAACTAAAATAAATAAGACAGATTTCAAAATAAATAAAAACCAGACACACTAGCAAGATAATTAGGAGACATTACAAACTTCATCCTTTAAAAACTCTTATCCCCCCAAAATGACTTAAAAGGATAAACCTTTCTCATGGGGTAATGGGGGAGAGGTGGAGCCAAACTGCTTAATTTCATAATAATCTATTATCTGCTAAAACAGAGGTAATATTTGTGCTAATGAAGCCTGGTGGACCATGTTTCTGGTAACTTCAAATAACCTTGGGGGCAGCAGGGAGGTTCCCAGCACCTACCAGAGATTCTCCTTGTAACCTGCCATAAAAACCAACTATTTCTAGAATCTCCTCTACTGGAACTATTTAATTCTTTGTACAATGTGCTTTACAGAAGTAATCCAAAGATTAAGAGACTTAGATCTCAGACTAATAAAGATTCAACAGCAATTAAAAAAAAAATCACTGGCCCAGTTTATAGGTTAACTCCTACAAACAGTTACTAACTTCACAGATAACGAAGAGAGAGAAGACAGTAAGAGGGGTAAGGAGGGTAGAGGGATACTGCTCCCAGTAAATTCTGTGTTAACCAAAGAAAAGACAACTACATAAATTGGAAAAAGAAAAAAAAAAAAGTCCAAAGTCATAGGTTAGCATCTGTACCCTTAGTAACGATCATTAGTTAAGAAACATTAACCTAAGTAAAAGAATAACATTTACTTACTTTGTCGACACCCATCCTCTTAAAACCCGCTTGTAGTATTTTGAAGTTCTGGATGTACTCGTGTTCTAGCTTAGCTTGGAATTTCACTTTCTTCAATGCAATGGAGCCAGGGAACAGCATGTCCATAAACTGACAATAGGCAGCTCCTGAATGAACAAGTGCAACAGAAAAATACAATAAACACTAGACTAGGTCACTGAATGCTACCATTAAAGTATAATGAGCGTGGAGTTCAAGACCAGCGTTAGCAAGACTGAGACCCCGTCTCTACAAAAACAGAAAAATTAGCCAGGTGCGGTGTCAAGTGCCTATAGTCCCACTACTCTGGAGGCTGAGGCAGGAGGATCACTTGAAGTAGCTGGGACTACTGACGCACACTATCACGCCCAGCTATTTTCAGCGGTGATGGGGTCTCGCTCTTGTTCAGGCTGGTCTTAAACTCCTGACCTCAAGTGATCCTCCTGCCTCGGCCTTCTAGAGTACTAGGATTATAGGTGTGAGCCACCATGCCTGGCCAGTGCCCCCTTTTTGACAAAAACAATCCCTCAGCAAAATCATTCTCTGTGATCATATTTTTTTCTTGATGATTATCCTTCCAAAATAGAGAAACTACAGAATGTAATAATGAATTTTGAAACAATGGGCCAACTCTGTCACTGAAAGTTATTCTCGCCTCATCTCCCTACCAGAGCCAAGCAAAGGCTAAGTTCAACACTACAAGGAGGGAAGCCCACGGTGCTGACAAAACTCATCCACTTCACGGGCAGCAGCACATCAACAGTATAGGGCCTCAGAGCTTTGTGCTCCCAAAGGAAAAACCTTTCCTATCTCTTAAAGCTTATGGTTAGTGGAGAATTCTGGTCTGTGTGATCCTCTGCTCATCACAGAGCTAAGATCACGAGGGATGAGGCCCCAGTATTAAATGCTACTGGAATTCTCCTTGGGTCTCAGTAAGCACAAGGACCTGCAGAGCCTCACTCTCTCCCTGATGCCCATCCCTGGCAGCAGGGCTTCTTCAGGGACAGAGCATCTGGCTCATCTTGTTTGCTCTCATACTGGAAGTGAGGCCTGGTTTTCCAAACATCAACGTGAAACACAATGCAACCATCTACATACTCAAAGAGAGGTCCTACACAGCTTGCAAGAAGAGAACTAGTTATGAATGAATAAAAGTATGTTTACAAATTGCAGTTAAATGTCCTGCACTTATGTTCTACTGGGGAAAAGCATTTCATCTGGGAGAACAAAAGTGGCAGACAGGCAACAGGCAAAATTGAAATATCTCACAGGTTTTATAGTAAAACTGTATAATTGTAATTAATTATAATGTAATTTACATTTGTTTAATTCTCCTCCAAATGCTTAATTCTCCTCCAAATGTTAACATGCATGCAGCAGAAAGTATGTGGACTGTATGCTCAGACAGATCTGAGCACCAGATCCTGGTTCAAAACCAGGATACATGAGCTATGCCTATGGGCAGTCTCCTCATCTGTTAAAAAAAAAGGGGGGGTGCCTCCTCACTCAAGAGACTTATATTCACCTTTAAGATCTGGCACAGAATCAGTATCTGAGGGTTACTATTACAGGGGATCCTCACAACAGCCTACAAGTGGGCCAGGTACTACTGCCTCCATTCACAGATGAAGAACTACTAGAACACTAAGGGATTTGTCCAAAGTCACACGGCTCTCAGAGCACACTGAAGCCTCTTCATGCCCAGTCCTGTCCATGACAGCTCCCTGCCTACATGAGATAAACCTGGAGCCACACTGGCACATGTGCAACTTATCTGTACAGGAAAAGAAATCACCATTTTCTAATTAACTGAGTGAAATTTACTTTGGACTCTATTTATAGAAATAGGTAAATTTTAGGGAGAAATTGCTGGTGAAAAAGCTGTCTCCAATGAAAACTAGGATGACCTCATCCCCACATTAGTCACAGATCACAGGGCAAACAAGTGCTTTAAAAGCCTCAAACAAATGGGGATATAGAGATGAATACTGAGGAAACTAATAGAAAAGGGGGTGGGGGCAGCACAGATCCAAAGCTAACAACCCATGTCTACAACCAGCAAAGAAACTAATGTATAATAAACATGCCTCTTGGGCACCACTGTTTTACTGTACAGCTTCACAGGTAGCCTTCCCTCTCACTATCTGCAAAACTGAAATCAAACCTCACAGGGGAAATAACAAGACAAGCAAATGAAACTAAGACCAACACTAGGACCTACCTATAAAATAAGGAAGTACAGAAACCAAACTCAAAAAAAAATCATGTAAGCAGAGGGGGAAGGAGACAGCAGTGGCATGACAGCCGGATATAAGACTCTCAATATTCCTCTTCCCCACTGTCGCTGTCTCTGTCAGTGCTGCTGCTGCCACTGCCATGACTAGGGTTGCTGGGACCCTCTAGTCTGCCTGTGTTAGCTGTAAGCTCACCGCCTGCCTGTCAACCCTCTGCTCCACACCGGCCCTCTTTCCTTTAGCTGCTGCCACTGCCAGCCCAGGGTCAAGCCGCCAGGATAACACCCTCCCACCCCACCCATCAGCCTGCAGGCCGGGACCATGGAGGATGTGAAGCTGGAGTTCCCTTCCCTTCCACAGTGCAAAGAAGATACTGAGGAGTGGACCTTCACTGTGGAAGGAAAGATGCAGGAAATTTTACCTGGATTGTCCTTAGGCCCATATTCTTCTGCTATGAAAAGCAGAAATATGGAATAACCCATATAATACGCATACAACAAAATATTCAAGCAAACTTTACAAAACCAAATTTTCAACAATTATTTAGATATTTAGTCTTGGATACTGCAGATAATCCAGTTGAAAATATGTTTGTTCCCTATGACTAAAGAATTCATTGATGAGAGTTTACAAACTGGAGGAAAAGTTCTTGTGCTTGGAGATGCAGGGATCTCCAGAAGTGCTGTGTTTGTTACTGCATACATTATAGAAACATTTGGAATGAAGTACAGAGAAGCATTTGCTTATGTTCAATAAAGAGGATTTTGTATTAATTCTAATACTGGATTTGTCCATCAACTTCAAGAATACAAAGCCATCTACCTAGCAAAATTAACAATATAGATGATGTCACCACTCCAGATAGAAAGGTCATTATCTGTTTATACTGGAACCATAGGCAGTTTTGAAGAGAACACATGAAGATGATGATGATTTCGGAAACATGCAAGTGGCGACTACACAGAATGGCTGACTGAAGAGAAAAATTATAGTGTGAACTTCTATTTGAGAAGGAGAAAATACTAGAGACAATAATAATGTAAAACGGTAAAAACAAGTAGTTTCTTTTCAATTACAGGTTGTTTCCAGACATGTTTCTACACAACTTTGTAAGATGTTGGACTTCTCCAATAGATGGTATTGGTTTTACTCCCTCTTACTATTTTTTTTTTTTTTTTTTGGTACAGAGTCTCACTCTGTTACCCTAACTAGAGTGCTGTGGCATCAGCCTAGCTCACAGCAACCTCAAACTACTGGGCTCAAGCAATCCTCCTGCCTCAGCCTCCCGAGTAGCTGGCATGCGACACTATGCCCAGCTAATTTTTTCTATATATTTTTAGTTGGCTAATTAATTTCTTTCTATTTTTAGTAGAGACAGGATCTCGCTCTTGCTCAAGCTGGTCTCGAACTCCTCACCTTGAGCGATCTTCCCACCTCGGCCTCCCAGAGTGCTAGGATTACAGGTGTGAGCCACCACACCCAGCCCTTTTTTTAAAAAAAACAAAACAAAACAAAAAAAACACGAGTTTTACTATAAACCGAGAATTCTGGACTTGCAGGAAAAAAAATCATATAAGTAATAACAATAGTTTCAAATCAATCCAAACTGTCGTCAGTAAAGGGAAAAAAACAGCCAGAAGAGCAAGCAGGGCGTAGGGGTCGAAGAACATGGCTCTGGATTTGGACCATGGTTCAGATCCCAATTCTGTTCTTGTCTGTTTAACCTGGACTTGTTATTCAACTTCTCTAAGCCTGTCTCCCCATCTATAAAACAGGGTTAATAACCATATCTACCTAATGGAAGTACACTGAGAATTAAATGAAGGAGACTTTTAAAAGCACTTACGTAACCCTGGCACACAGGTGGTCAATTAGATGACTAGTTATTACTAGAGAAACAAAGGGTTCTGATGCTCTATCCCGTGAACAAGACAAGAATTTAAGCACTATAGGTGGAGCATCCATAACCCAAAACTCCAAAATCCAAAAACTTTTTGAGCACCAACATGATGCCACAAACGAAAAATTCTATACATGACCTCATGTACACAAACTTTGTTTCATGCACAAAATTATAAAATTACTTGCAGGCTTTGTGTATAAAGAGTATATGAGGCCGGGCGCTGTGGCTCACGCCTGTAATCCTAGCTCTTGGGAGGCCGAGGCGGGCGGATTGCTCAAGGTCAGGAGTTCAAAACCAGCCTGAGCAAGAGCGAGACCCTGTCTCTACTTTACTTTAAATAGAAAGAAATTAATTGGCCAACTGATATATATATAAAAAATTAGCCGGGCATGGTGGCGCATGCCTGTAGTCCCAGCTACTCGGGAGGCTGAGGCAGAAGGATCACTCAAGCCCAGGAGTTTGAGGTTGCTGTGAGCTAGGCTGACGCCACGGCACTCACTCTAGCCTGGACAACAAAGCGAGACTCTATCTCCAAAAAAAAAAAAAAAAAAAAGAGTATATGAAATATAAATAAACTTCGTGTTTAGATTTGGGTCCCATCCCCAAGATATCTCACTATATATATGCAAATATTCTTGACTCCATTTCTTACATGTGGTAGATCAAGTTTTAATAACCCTGACATCTTCCTTACCATGTCAGGACTCAGGGACAGTCGGCAGAACTCCCAAAAGGTTTAAGACAAAAGTCTTTCAAGGAAGTATAAACTGATAACACTTTTATGAAAAATAATTACCAAGAGCCATAAACTGATAACACTTTTATGAAAAATAATTACCAAGAGCCTAGAGTTCACACCCTTTGATCTAGTAATTCCACTTGTAGGAATCACTGAGGAAATAAACTGAGATAAGATGTACGTTAAAGGATACTCAACCTATCCATTATACATAATAGAAAAATTAGAAACAGCCTAAATGTATAAAAATTGTGATGAGAGGCTGGGCGCCGGTGGCTCACACCTGTAATCCTAACACTCTGGGAGGCCAAGGGGGGTGAATTGCTCAAGGTCAGGAGTTCGAAACCAGCCTGAGCAAGAGTGAGACCCCGTCTCTACTATAAAATAGAAAGAAACTAACATATATATAGAAAAAATTAGCCGGGCATGGTGGTGCATGCCTGTAGTCCCCAGCTACTCGGGAGGCCGAAGCAGAAGGATTGCTTGAGCCCAGGAGTTTGAGGTTGCTGTGAACTAGGCTGACACCACAGCACTCACTCTAGCCTGGGCAACAAAGCAAGACTCTGTCTCAAAAAAAAAAAATTGTGATGAGAATTAAACAACTGGAGCAAATCCACAGAAAGAAAGCACTAGCCTGGGCAACAAAGCGAGACTCGGTCTCAAAAAAAAAAAAAAAATTGTGATGAGATTAAACAACTCAAGCAAATCCACAGAAAGAAAGCATATGCAGCCATGCAAAATAAGTACTTCCAAGTTACTGAATGACACTGAAGAATATCTACAATATAAAGTTAAATGAAGGTAGAATACATACAAATAGGTGACACAAAAAGGTGACAGAAAGAAAAAAATATCCAAACAGTGACTTTCTCCGAATAATGGAATTACAGGAATTTTTTATTTTCTTCTTTCTAGTTTTCTAAATATTATACAATTAGCATATCTAGAAAGAGACTATGTTTTTGCTCTTGTTTTAAATCACTGTCTCTCTGCCAAACTGTTAAATAGCAGTTCAATAAAACTATGGCTGAAATGGCATTTTCTTGACTTTGGTCTTGTGCTTGCTGGGAAGAAGAAGTGTCAATATAACTTGATGATGATGAACCTATATAAAACCAGAACTATAGTACAATAATTGTCCTCAAATAAAACGTGAAATCTGGATGCACAAGAGTACAAACTGAGAAGTCAGGGTTGGGCTGCAGGGCTCAGAATGCAGTCTCTCTCTGCAGTGTAAGATGGTGGACTCACAGGCCAAAGCACACTCTTTTTAAGCACAGTTCCTTTTTGAAGCAGAAGCAAGGCAGGGCTGAGAGGAAGAAGTAGGGTGGTCCTAAAATAGAACCTGAACCTCTCTGTGTGGCTTTGTAGTCAGATAGAGGCCTGCACATTCCAGAAGGATCTGTAGGCATTCCTAGAAATGTGGTCTAACGGATTTCTCTTACCTGAGCACAACTGTTCGATCTTTGTCAAATTCAACTGCAGAGACTCATTGATCCAAGCCAGCATATCATGTCGACTTAAGTTATCACTGGTGACTGACGTCGAGTATACATTCACTGCCATCTTCTATAGCATGTGAGGAAAACAGAAGGGTTCAAGTTAGAATAGGCATGCAAGTGACAGCAAGTGTTTCCTGGAGAGTCCTCTAGAGCAAACCTGTGAGAACAATCAATTTTTAAGCCTCACCTTCTGCCCAGAGAGGCCAAACCAGAGATACTAGGAGTCCAGCCATAAGCCTGGATTTCCACATATAAACATGACCTGAAATGAATTGCCCAACATGAGTCAGTCTAAAACTCAGGCCCTATTTTAATGTGATTGATATAAAATTTTTAACTACAAAAACCCCTAAGTAAAGGGATGAGTAAGTGCTTTATGAAGGGAGGTGAATGCATAAACAAGAACATTCTGTTTAGAAAACCCATCAGTCCAAGTTTATCCATTAAGATATCAAAATGTTCACAGCAGTCTTCTTCAGAAGGCAAGCTTTTATTAATTCCTCTTTATAGTTTTCACTATTCCCCAAACTTTATTTATTTATTTATTTATTTTGAGACAGAGTCTCACTTTTTTGTCCAGGCTAGAATGAGTGCCGTGGCGTCAGCCTAGCTCACAGCAACCTCAAACTCCTGGGCTCAAGCAATCCTACTGCCTCAGCCTCCAGAGTAGCTGGGACTACAGGCATGTGCCACCATGCCCAGATAATTTTTTCTATATATATTAGCTGGCCAATTAGTTTCCTTCCATTTATAGTAGAGACTGGGTCTCGCTCTTGCTCAGGCTGGTTTCAAACTCCTGACCTTGAGCGATCCGTGGGCCTCAGCCTCCCTGAGTGCTAGAAATACAGGCGTGAGCCACCGCGCCCGGCCCCCCAAACGTTCTTTAAAGACTATGTCTATTTTCATAATTGAAAAGTAAATAAGCTTTTAAGTACCTAGGCACTACAAAGGCAATGTCAAATGACTACAAGTGAAGAGTCCTTGGTAATTAATTTCTGCAGAGCCACCTGGGGACAGGAGGGCATCTGAGGGCCTACTAAGTGTAGGTGCTTCACATCCACTTGTCATTTAATCCTGACAACCCACTGCAAGGTTCATTTCATTTCCTTCATATTACAAGTGAGAAAAGAGAGGCCCTGGAGATTGGCAGCTAAGCTCACCCAGCCCGATGATTTGCATTCTCTCCTCTTATCTTTCTGTTGCTGTTAAAACTATAAACAGCAACAAATCTAATGTAAAATGCTAGCAAATGTGGGTGTCATGGTCAATGAGCACCAGTTAGGTCATCCCTCATTCTTTCAACAAATGTTTACTGAGCTCTGTGACATGTTGGGCACTGTTCTAGGGATCAGGAAATAGATAGGCAAGAGACAAGGTGCCCATCTACAGAGAGTTCACATTCTAGTAGCCACTAGTAGCCATTCTAGTGAAGTCTGACCCAATTCACTAACAAATATCATGTCATATCAACCACTCAGGCAATGGGGTTTAGGGAATGTGGTCAGAGAAAGCCTCTCTGAGACAACAGCTGAGCTTAAGAATCAGAAGGAAGCATCACACCTGTAATCCTATCACTCTGGGAGGCCGAAGCAGAGGATCGCTCAAGGTGAAGAGTTCGAGACCAACCTGAGCAAGAGCAAGACCCCCGTCTCTACTAAAAATAGAAAGAAATTAATTGGCCAACTAAAAATATATAGAAATGGGGGATGGTCATGATGGAGACTCAGACTTTTGGGGGGAGGGGGGGAAATGGGCATTTATTGAAACCTTAAAATCTGTACCCCCATAATATGCCAAAATAAAAAAATAAATAAATAAAAATATATAGAAAAAATTAGCTGGGCATAGTTGGCACATACCTGTAGTCCCAGCTACTTGGGAGGCTGAGGCAGAAGGACTGCTTGAGCCCAGGAGTTTGAGGTTGCTGTGAGCTGGGCTGACACCATGGTACTCTAGCCCGGGAAACAGAGTGAGACTCTGTCTCAAAAAAAAAAAAAAAAAAAATCAGAAGGAAGCAGCCACATGGAGATCTAGAAGGGTGCTGCGGCCCACTGAGCAAGAGGAGAGAGCAAGAACAGGAATAGAAGTCAAGAAGCCAGATCATATTAAGGCTTTGAAGACTAGGGAAAGGAGTCTGAAACTTTATTTTAACTGTTAAGGAATCCATTGTCGGGTTTTAAGTGCGGTAGAATCTCCCTCTCATTAAAGTCTGAAAAAGATCATCCTGATTGCTGGTGGATAACAGATAGGAGTAGGGAGGGAAGACTTAAGCAATATGAGATAAAGGCAGGCTAATACAGATCTAAATGAATTCCCTGGGCAGTCACAAGTACACACTATACAACAGTAGATTTCATAGTGACCTTGACACTTTTTCTTCATTTCATAGATAGCAACATTACCAATAGGGGAGGGGGGACGTAAAGAGATACAGAGCAATCTAGAACAACCATGAGATTCCAGCCTTTTGCACTATTGTGGCACTTCATTCCCTCCACCTAGTAACTATGTATGAGTTGGTCTTTCCACATCCATCTCCTGTGCTAAGCTGCTGCAAGCATCATGAGTTGCACAGTTACAGGAGGTGAGAGGCAGAAGAGACAGAGATCCTCTTTTTATGAGCAGGGGTGACTGAGGTCTATAAAGGTAAATAACTTACCAGGTCTGTGTCCCCTCACATTCCTCATGGCACTTGACACAGTAACTTGCACATAACGAGCACTCAGTAAAATGCTACTTGTTTTCAGGTTGGCAGGACAGTATCAAAGACAGAAAAATATATCTATATAAACTTTTTTCAGAAAGTAAATCATCAACACTCTTACATTCCCAAAATAAGCTGACAAAACCATGTTACACAAGACACACAATTTAGCTCCTGACTCCTCTGGGAAATTAATCCCTATGTTCCCAGGGTACTTCATTCAAATCTCTATGACAAGAATTATCACACTGGATTGTCATTAACTCTTCATTTCTGAACCATTCCCAGACCAGACTGGGGCCAGGAGACAATTCACTCAATGTGAAGAGCTAGGAATTTCAAGTCAGGAGGACCTAGGTTTGCATGTGAGGCTGTCACTCATTAGTTGTGTGACCTTGGACAAGTTACTTAATGTACCTCAGTTGTTTTACAAGTTAATACCACCTATCTGAAAAGGATCATGGAAAGGTTTAAATGACACAAGGTATATAACATATTTGGTTTGGTTTCAACACATAAGAGGTAGTAAACAAACAAGGTCCAGGACAGGAACCTTGTCTCATTCATCCTCCCATCTCCAGTGCTAAAAGCAGTACCTGAGACCTGCCACCACCATCTCTCATCCGGCTATACTGCAACAGTCTTCAAATTAGTCTCACTGTCTCAATTTGTTCTTACACAGAAGCCAAAAGAATTTTCTGAATCACAAATCACATCGTGTCTCCCCTGTTTAAAATCCCTAAATAAATAAATAAATGAAATGCATACTCTGTGCAAAATGCTATTATTAGGTACCAAGCAGAGACATCCAAGCAAAAAACATGGTCCCAGGCTGAGCACTTGTAATCTATTATGGAGACATATATATATATATCAGGTGTATCATGCTACCCTAAACTGTAGCAGCTGGTAAAGCCACGTGTCTCCTGACCACACCCCAGCTCAGAAAACGTTAATAGCTTTTCATCATCATAATTTAAAACTCTTTCATTAGCAGTACATTAATACCTGGTCCCACATGCTCTGAAAATTCTGCAGCCACTAAATACATAGGATTAGACATCCTGTGGCTATGCAATAAACATCCACTGACCAAACCAATTAATTGGCTCTTCCAGACAGTCAAAACAGAGCCTTGTTCTCAGAGCTCCAGCTCACACTTCCTCCAAAAGAATTCCACTGCTTGGCCGCAACAAAAGACCCATGACTACCACAAAAACCTCACCCTTACAAGGTTCCTTGACCTAGGTTTCAACAATGAAAAGGCTCCCTCTTGCCCACTCACGTTATCGCTTCCTTCAGCAGCTCTTCTAGCAGGCTCCCAAACCTATTCTAACCCAATGCTGTCTGAAGAGCACCCTATTACTTTCAAAGCACCATACTAAGCCCTATGGAGAGACAGAGAGGGTGTCACCAGAAAAGAATTATGTGACCCTGAGTCACTTCACCTTTCCAAATCACAAATAGCTCACCTGTAAAATGGGTAAAACACTATCTTCTGCACAAAGTGGTGGTGAGGATTAAATGAGAATCTAAGTGAAAACACTTAACTGAAAAGCACAACATGCCCTAAGGTTCCCTATGTACCAGAAACTGCTAGACACTTTCATGCCCAATGAAAAGGGTGCACCTACACGAAACACGCTCTATAGCTCTGGGCCTCAGGAAGAAACTGTAATAGAGAGGCTAAAAGCCTGTACTCTAAAGTCACAGATGTCCACAGATGCACAGCCGCTTGTTGGGCAGCAAAAGGCACATCACTTCACCTCTCAGACTCAGACTCCTCATTTGTGAAATAAGATATCTCTTAAAGACAGTGTGAATTATTAAATGACAACGCCATATCAAGCAATTAACACGATGCTTAACACACAGCAAGTGGCCAATTAACAAAGAGCTGCTCTTATTATTACTACTCTTAGAGACATCCCATCAGAGAAGGGGATGCAGGCCTAGCATAACTTCCTTCAATGGGCCTCAACATCCTCATTCCCAAGATGGGGCCCAGGCCAAGCTCTGCCCTGCAGCATGCAAGGACAGCTGCGAAGCGCGGACTGGAAAAGCTCTGTTGATATCACCCTGTTATACTGTCTTCCTAGAATTACACAGAATTGTCTCGTCCCTGTATTCATTTTCTAATTTCCTGTCTGTCCACCACAATGCAGACTCCTGGAGAACAGGTCTTTGCCCGCCTGCTCCCAGGTGTATAGCCAGCACTTAGCACGATGCCTAGCATCCAGTAGGCACTCAACACCCCCCTCACCTTTAAGAAAGGAAGGAGTCCAAGGAGCTGGCTTACTTTTTGCCACGCACCGCGCTAAGACCTTTCTATCCGTAGTATCATCGTCCCCATTTTACAGATAAGACAGCTGAAATCCACAGCAGTTAAAGCGCCTGGCCAAGGTCGCAAGGCAGGGAATCGACCCCTGGTCTGAATCCACAACCCATCAGGCGATACCGCCACTTACAATGTGGGTCCCCAGAGTTCCCAACAGGGCCCACCTCGCCCACACACCCACTTCCGGGACCCAGTCACCCTGGACCTTCGGGCGCGGCAGCGTGGGCTCCACACCTCAGCCACGGCCCAGAAGTCCCACGCCACCTAGGGGCAGCCCCCACTTCCGGGCCGAGGCCCCGCCCACCAGGCAGAACGGAGCGCGCGCCCCCCGCCCAGCTCGCGCGCGCCGGGTCACGGCCCCGCCCTTCCCCCACCCGGCTCGAACGGCACCGCCGTGTGGAGCGGCCTGGGTGCCGTCTGCAGGGCCTACCGGCGCCTGCTGGGCCTTGGCCTGCCCAGACTTGGAGCACCCGCCGCCCCCACGGCCGCCGTCCCGTACCCACTGGACGGCTTACCGGCTCTTGGCGGAACCGTGTCCACTGCCCGCGCCAGGCTCCGGTTCCGTCTTCGTCTCGTTCAAACCGCCAACCCCGCCCGCCCGTCCACGCGATGACCTCACACGCACGCGCCGGCGTAAAGGTTCGTCACCGTCCGCCGGCTCCTTTTATAGAGACTCAGCGGCGCGCCGGGGGTGGAGCCCGGCCCTTGATCGACAGCTGGAACGCCTGTGAGGCGAGACACCCACTGCCGGGGGCGACTGCAGCACGTGGTCGGCCAGAGCCAATGAGGTCCCGCCTTGGGCCGGGCGTGGCTCCGCCCAGAAGGCGGGGTCCAGCTACAAAATCTCCAAGGCAGTAGCCAAGAAGAAAATTATACTATGAATTTCTATAAGAATGAATTATTGGATAATAAAGACTCTTGATAGGCGCCTTGGGGTAAGATTCAAAAGTCACCTCAGAGACACGTTCTGCGACTACCCTATCTGTAATGACCCTGTAATATCATCTAGCTTTTCTTCTTAGTACCTTACAAGGGCATTTTATTTTTTTACCGTCTTTCTGTTTGCACAGTTTGCTGAAACAAGGGCCTTCTCAGTCCCTTTCCCGGTGTCCTAGTGCCAGTACATTGAGAGTCTCACTGAAAGAATGAACTGCACCACTTTAAAGCAGAGGAAACTGAGGCTCAGAGAGGCCAATTGACTTGCCTAGTGCCAGAGGAAGATTCAGATTTTGAACTGCTTTATCTAGATATCACTCATTCATGTCCTCAACAAATATTTTCCCTGACCAATCAGGCCCTAGGGACTTGGTGAGCAAAAACCAGACACAGCCTCCAACCTCTTAAAGTTTCCAGTCTGGCAGGGGAGGCAAAGAGGACACAATTAATGACACAAAACCCCCTTGATTTCGAGCCAGACTGAGCACTAGGCAGGACTGATATGTGGCCAGGGTGATAGCATTGCATTGTGTGGAGCAGGGGCCTAGACACCCTTCTACACCAAGTCTTATCCAAGGCAGATGTTCAGGGAAGGATGATGGGTGAAAGCTGGGCTAGGAGCTGTTTATCAACTGGTCTAGAAGCATTTCAACATTTCAACCACCAGAATTGCTGGTTGTTTCTATGGTATATAGCACTCCAAGAGCACATCACAAAAGACCAGACCTCACCTAGACAGTGTGAGAAGGCTTCCCAGAAGTGACAATTGCCCTTAAAGATGAGGAGTTAAACTGGCAAAAGGGTTGCAGTAGGAAAAGGCAAGCAAGACCCAACAGCAAAAAGCTCAGTAACAAATGATTACAGCAATAGTGGTAATATTAGCATTACAGTGAATTGATATAAACCATACATAATCAAGTAAAGATATTGATAAGTGCTTCAGGCAACATCTGTTACCACCATTTTGCACATGAAGACATTCAGTTTCCAAAGACTAAGTGAATTTTATAAAAGTAGAAATCAAATTGGTCTGGGTTCAAACTCTGGCTCTTCTAAGAGTTAAAATTAAATGACATGTGTGTGAAGTTCTCAGACCACTCCAGGCACATAGTACCTACCGTGTTTCCCTGAAAATAAGACCTACCCATAAAATAAGCCCTAGCAGGATTTCTAAGCATTTGCGCAATATAAGCCCTATCCCAAAAATAAGAACTAGTGATGGGAGTGGCTACACAGGGTATCTGCACAACCCATGCATTTCATCGTGGAGTGGTAAAGAAGACATGCAGTCCTTCTCATCTGTCCCATCATGACAGCTACTATCCCAGAGGTGGCTGGAAAGGTGCAGGCAGCCCCATCAACAAGGTCAGCTCCCCTGTCAGGTCCCGGCCATCCTGTGTGTGCTGCAAACTGAGGCTTTGGGGGGACAATAACACATCCCCTGAAAATAAGCCCTACGGTGTCTTCTTGAGGAAAAATAAATATAAGACCCTGTCTTATTTTCGGGAAACACGGTATGTGCTAAATAAATGTTAGTGATTTCCGAGTCCTTTTGCTTAATGTCAGTTATCAAATTATGTCAAGCATAATCGTCAGCATTGTCTAGAGGCCATTTTGGTTCGGGGACGAGGACATTAATGTGGGGGATGAGATCAGTGGAGAAAGCCAAGTCAAGAAGAGCCTCTATACTATGGAATACTACACAGCCAAAAAAAAAAAAAAGAAGAGCCTCTAGTGCCAGCCTAGAAAATTTGGACCTGGTTCTGTAGACATAGGGAGTCACAGGAGGTCTCTGAGCAAGGGCCGCTAAAATAAAACTCATCTACCCTCCCAAGATATAAAAGCAGGGCACATAACCTGTTCAGAGTACACTCTCCTCCTCTCTGAGGAGGAAGTTAGCCAAGGGTATCTGGGTCAGATTGACCTTTGACTGCAAAAGGCCAGAGAGTAAAATGAAAAAAAAAATCCTTCCTGCCTGGTGTGGTGCCTGTAGTCCCAGCTACTCAGGAGGCTGAGTGAAACAGGAGCATCACATGAGCCCAGAAGTTTGAAATTAGCCTGGGCAATGTAGTGAGATTTTCCCTCAAAAAATTAATAAATTCAAAAATACATAAAATAAAAAATAAGGCCAGGTGTGGTGGCTCATGCCTGTAATCCTAACAATCTGGGAGACCAAGGCAGGAGGATCACTTGAGGTAAGGAGTTCGAAAGCAGCCTGAGCAAGAGTGAGACCCCGTCTCTACTAAAAATAGAAAAAATTAGCCGGCGTGGTGGCACATGCCTGTAGCCCCAGCTACTTGGGAGGCTGACACAGGAGGATCACTTGAGCCCAGGAGTTTGAGGTTGCTGTGAGCTAGGCTGACGCCATGGCACTCTAGCCCAGGCAACAGAGCGAGACACTGTCTCAAAAAAATAAAAAATAGGCCGGGCGCTGTGGCTCACGCCTGTAATCCTAGCTCTTGGGAGGCCGAGGCGGGCGGATTGCTCAAGGTCAGGAGTTCAAAACCAGCCTGAGCGAGACCCCGTCTCTACTATAAATAGAAAGAAATTAATTGGCCAACTGATATATATATAAAAAAAAAAAATTAGCCGGGCATGGTGGCGCATGCCTGTAGTCCCAGCTACCCGGGAGGCTGAGGCAGAAGGATC